AGATCGGACATGTCGACAATTTTTGAGGAATCAGGATGTTGTAGTAGTAACTAAACAGAAAAAGAAATTTGATAATATTGGAAAAGTAAAATTGTTACAAACCAATTAAAATATTGAGATTCTTTCTAAAACTTTGATAACCTATTAGTAGTTTACAGCTTTTTGGTCCTTTAATAAGAAAATTACTCTTAAACTTGGGTCAGCAAAGAGGCAACTTAGGATATGACTATAAAATATATCACATTTATCATCAGCTGCCATTTCGTACTTACCTCCACAATACCAACGTGATTGCGCTCGGCTGCCATGTGGAGAACAGTCTTACCCTGCGCATCTCTAAAAGAAAGTATGTGCACGCTTTCTAGCAACACCTTCATTACCTCCTCCCGCCCATACTCAGCTGCCAAATGAAGCGGCGTTCGTGATTCTTCATCAATTTCGTCTGCCTTAGAACCTCTGAAAATATTAGATGGAGAATACTTTGTATATTTTTAAAAGCTTGGTTCTGCGACTAATTTTGCTTGAATAATTTATACTAGGCATAAAAAGTTTTATAAAATCTTTAAAGACTAAAAGTTGTATTGTTTGACGGTTTGCAGTGATATATTGAATTTAATTTCAATTTTTAACGCCTAGGGCACCCTAAAAAGTAAATAATTAAAAAGTGAATTAGGACAGAAACGAGGGATAACCCTTTAGAAAATCTTTCAGAATTCCGCTTTTAAAAGGTTCATCAAAATGGCGTGAATTAAAATATACAAGGTGATTACTTACTCAGTAAGTTAGTTGCTAATAACCAAGCGTTTAAGTCAATAAACTTAATTTATAAGTAAAACCATTAAGGCAATCAATGCGTCACGTTTTTTTATTAAATGAGCAAAGTAACTAATGAAGATATTTTATATTTAAAGAAATATTGGGTATGGAAATAGTTTCATTTAATTCCAAATATTGTAAGATGCTCAGTTTGCAAAGGAATCTGATAAATATGATGCTAAGGTAATATTTTGCTAGAGTTGTAGTACTTAAAATCCAATTACTCTTGTTAAAAAAAGCCATTCAAAAATGTTATTGCCACGGTTTCCATAATTTTACCTGTACACGAGAGGAAAAGCAAGCAACATCGTTTTAAGGTATGAACAAGGAAGAGTACGAATACGCTTAGAAATATCAGACATCTTACATTATATATAAATTTGAGCGTATCCAGTAAGGTACATATTAAATACTTGAGAAATTTTGTTTACACCGAATTTGCCGCTAAGACTTCCAAAATAATACCTATCTATATATTTTACCGGCTCAGCAAGGTTAATTATTATTAAAACATACATCATTACTTAAGTAATTTGAAGAGCTAAACTCTGGGTGAGCATGGAAGGGTCAGGGCATGCACAAGTCTTCCCTTCAGTTTAGTTCGGTTGGTTATAATGTCAGGCTTTTGATCGCCATAGCCATAGTTCAAATTATAACTTTAATTTATGCTGCTTTACTAGAGCCTAATTAGCAATAACTTCTTCCTATTATGAAAAATATATGTTTGCGATCACTTACACAAGGTTAGTCAAAAGCATAGAAGCCGTAAATGAAAATTAGGAAGTCGCTAAGTACTATGATATGAGCCACTTTAAGCATAATTATTAATTTATAACTTTCAGATGGCTGTACGAACATTATCCGCTATGTGCCACTGTGGTAATTTTAAACGCCAAAATCCATTTGGACAAATGTAACTCGGAATAAGAGGCTTGCTTAACGTCGTCCGCATTTTCCGCCATGATTAAGCTCAGCCAGCTTATAATTATAGTTGATTATACAATTTTGAAATATTGACTCCATTCGATACAATAAAAAAAACATTCCTTATAATTATGACCACGAAATATCCCGTTTCTTACATAATAAACGTTTATCAATAATCTTTGTTGATAGTAAACTATCTAATAAACCCAATATATGAGTCATTTTTGCCATTTTCCTCTCGAACTTCTTAAAAACGGCATTCACCATTTAGTGGAAATTGCTTAATGTAATTCATTTTTAGAGCTACAATTTACTAACTGGCCAATTAAAACAGTTATGATCTAAATGTATGGCGTATTGGAATCAGCCTTCTATATATGGACTTGAGAAAATTCTACAGAATAAATAATATTCAAAAACTCTTAGCTGATGAAAAAGCAAAATAATTTCATGAATTGTTTGTATGTTATCGTAAATGCTCAAATAATATCCAGGAGTGGAGGTACATAATGCTTCTATCGTGTATGTGTAATGAATAACGTACATAAGATTAACCCTGTAAAAGACTAAGCCCATACACTTTTCTCAAATTCATACATGGTCCAATCCTCAATTTAGGCTAGAATAGAGCCAACATGAAGCACATTCGCTAGCCAGCCAAAACTTCTCTGCAAGTATTAGGTTGTACCTAACTCTTAGAGGAATTAGGACATCCGAAAACCGAGCTCTTTTTCTCCAACGGAGAGCAAAATCGATCGTTACTGATAAAATATATTGAGCGAATATCATGTTTGAATGGTAAATCTTTGGAATACTGAGCATGATAATAGAATTTATATCCAAGACTTAATCATATTTCCTTACGATTAAAAATAGCGAA